GGTTTAGCGAAGATGGGAAAAAATGGGATTTGGGAAAAAATTACTTGTTGAGAGATAATCAGTCTTATTTACGGATAAACTGGGTGTTCATTATGTTGGTTCAGTTGCTGAATTTATTATTTATGAGAAAAATTGTTAAATGCGAAGTACAATCTGGATCATTGAACACTTTTCCACGAACTAGTTTTCAAAGTTTCGGAATAATACTATTTTTGATTAACATTATTCCTTCCGCTAGTTTGTTAGTATAATACAAAACTCGTTCGAAATTTCTGCAGAGTTCACACCTCCGTTGTCTCGTACATTCGTAAATATTTCGGATAACCAACGGAAGAACAAAGAAATGCGCCTGCACGTGCGTCGCGTCCCTAAGAGCCAGCAGGAAGTTGGAGCGAAGAACGAAATTAGTTCTGAAAGGAACGGTGGACCCTTATCAAAAGACGCAGGCGTAGCCGGAACGAACCGGAAATAGAAGCGAAGACGCGGCGGGGGATAAGAAACGGCGGAGTCGGATCGCAGCGGGAAGCTGCTTCGAAAAACAGGAAAACACTCTGGCCGTGTCCCGGACAAAGCGGGCAAGAATTTAATTAGCGTAATCCCGCGAACGTCCGATCATTCGCCGGCGCGACTTTGTCCGGCGTGTTTCTGGCCCTCCCCCCTCCACTCTCGGATTCGGCCGGCGACACCTTTGGAAGTCTGGCACAATGGTGTGCGTCGTCTGGACGTTAATTAAATTTCATTGGTCTACCGTGGACGATGTAACGTGCCCTGCGAAGGAAGCAATTTCCACGGCCAAGCGAGTTCGGGCCACAATTTTGGGGAGAAAGGAATTCGAGACTTTGAGGATGCCAATGATCGGTGGTCATTTAATTAATTTGTGGCGGTGATGTCAGTTAGCGAGCTTGTGATTTTAATCACTTATGAGGAACATCTATGTTCCATGCAATCGCGGTGGAAGAAGGTTAATGAATATTCAAGTTCTTCTACGTTGCCTTCGGTTAGATGAATTTTGGAACTATGTTTATTTTATTGATCGATTAGTTAATGTAAGTTTAATCTTACGAATTCAGACCAACATTTAAATTTAACGGTTTGAGTCTTACGCGCCGCTTTTGCGTTTTTTCAGATTTCATCTCGAAGAAAGCCAGCGCATTTGAACGAGACGGACAACTGCGCACTCACAATCTCGCGAAACGCGCACAATTTTTCAGACGCGTGCACGTCGCATCGATATTTTTCTTGTATATAAGTAATCCGAGCAATACATTTTGTATTTCGTTGTTACCTATTATAAATTAATATACAAGGTGGAAATTATAGATCGTTACAGTCGAATATCTCCGAAAATATTGATTATACGCAAAAATGTTTCAAACGCAAGTTGTTCGATACCGAGGCGGACATCATGTGGTGGAACTTTTATTTTTCCCGGTGGACACTCCAAAGTGAGTTGAAGGTCAATTTTCATTTTCTAAATGGAATGATACGTTTTTTTAATCCATCATTAAATGATGCGTTTTAAGACGAATTCAATGACCTATGACTCAAGGTCATTCAAGGCCAAACTTGCAGGGATATGGAGGAAAAGTGTGATATATATAATATATATATAATACTATTAACATAGATTAAGACAAGCGCTGTCGCGCAGCTCGGATCTTTTATCGCGCTGTCCAGCTTCTTTCCACCGTCTTTTCTTAAAAACCTCTGGTACTCAAACGGTTAATAACAACCGACACGCACTCTAAGCGCAAAATTTACAATACAAAGTAACCTAAGCCCTACTATCCCAAGTTCAACCAATGCAAGTTCATCCATCACTCGGTAAAATCCCGATCTTCCAAGCGAACGCGCGACGATGCCGTATATTTCGAACTGCGCCGGCAACGAAGCTGACAGGCGACGACGAGCAAACTTCCGGCGAAGAATTTTCCCTAAGGGGGCGGCGGAGAGGAGGCGAAACGGACGAATAAGAGGACGAAAAAAAAGGGGGGAAAAGTGGCGTTAACTTGGAACTTCCCTAACTATCGTCAGCGAGACCCCCGCCGATAAGTGTAACATTGTTTCCGCGACCCCATTCGCGGCTCTCCTCTGTCCTCGAGGCCGTGTCGCAGCGGGCGGGATGATAAAACGCTCCCGGGTCGGTCTGATTCATAGACGCGCATGAAACTTTCCGTTTCGCGGACTTAGGCGGACGTACGTGACCGGACTGGCCGATCCCGGCCGGCCGTTCCGCAGCGACCGAGGCAAATTACTAAAAAGCTTGGCACGAAACGCGATTCCCTCTTTAGGCCCGCTCGCCCACGCCAATTCGTATCGTTCGCTTGACACGGCGGACACGGCCACGGGCTATGCAACCGGCCGCTCGCTCGGGAACGTGCGGGAAATTCCGGATTATCCGGTTGATTGTCGCGACGACCGGTGAAAAGAACGATTAAACGGGTCGGGGACGCGGAACTGATTGATACCGCGCTGATCGCTTTCTGATAAATTGGAATTAGTACTTAGGCACCTCCCTTCTGTGCGAATCTGCGCGAAGGGTAGCGATTATTGGTGAATTATTGGGAATTTATCGGTGATTTTTACGTTTCTCCTTGAACATCGGTGTATCGGTTATTGTTTCCCAGTATGTTCTCGTCGCGTTGCGAATGATCATTTGGATTGAGCAACTTCTTTATCTGTACAGCTAAAATAATTTACCAACCGATAACTTGAGACATATACTACGAGACGAATGCTTTGTTTATCAAGAAACTATTGGAACGATGCAAGAGGTGACACTAATGAACGAAAACAAGGCAGAAAATGATCACGGAACGTTCCCCGGAGCACAAGCGCGAGAACGCCCGATATCGCGGCACAATTCCGCCCGCAATCTGAAAATTCCGCACAAAAGCGTTACACCGCGAGAAATGAAACTAAAAGGAAACACTTCGCTGAAGTTTAATAACGTTTTGATACCGCGTGGAGCACAGTGAAATCCGCAACAGTGGAAACCCATTTCCTCCCGTCGCGGCTCGAAATAAAGAAAAACGAGTTCACATAAAAATCCGTCGCCGGACAAAGAAGACCTCGCTCGAGCGAGCGCCGAAGTTCACGGTGTAAGAAAATATTTACGATATCCGTCGCCGAAGGATTAATTAAGCCAGTCCGAGAGGAGAAAGAGAAATTCTCCGTTCACGGGGCGACTTTCAGTGGCAGTTCCCCGTTTTCGTCGAGCTACTCTCGGCCTCGCGTGTTCCGAGGGCTCCTTCAACTCGGGAACGACCCTTCCGGTGTTTCCCGGCGGGGTAATAACAGATTTCCCGGCGCCGGGGCAACAAACACGTCGAAAAGGAGGCCGGGCTTCCCTTTTCGCGCGCGTGTAATCCCGAAACGCCGGGCGCGGGGACGTGAAAGTAACCGGCGGGAGCTTCCCTTTCTCCGCGGCGTCGCGCCGAAATGGGAATTACCATTCCATGGGATTTTTCCGGGACGACTTTTTCCAGTCGAGCGGTGCCCGCGCGCGCGCGCGCCGCGGACGCAACACAATCGGCTAAGCCGGGTTCTGACGCGGCCATTGTGCTCCGCCATATTGCGCCCGGCTCTAATCTGCATACGAATGAAATCCGTTAGCCGGGGAAGCAACGAAAAAGGTAAATAAGGAGAAGAATTCGCTGCCCCGCGTCGTCTATTTCCCGGGCTTTCTCTTTCGGGAACGCGCGAGTGGCTCTCGCGGCGTTCATTCGTTTAGCTCTTCCGCGCGGTGTGCTCGATTTAGCGGGGAACCTTCGGGGAAATGGGGGACGACGGAGCTTCAGGCTTTTTGCGACACTCGCTGGGAATTAGGAGGTTGTTGGAAGTTTTGTTCGGAGGTATTTGGAGAATTGTTCGGTTATTTTCGGGGGAGTGTGCTTTTT